GTAAGGGGATCAGATTCACCCTCTCAGAGTCTGGAAGAATTCCGGACGGTACAAAAGTACTTAATAGAGATGACCGACAAAGTACCAGCCATGTCCTGGTACTGTTACACCCCCGAGGAGGACAAGGCTCGGCACTATGGAGGAATCTAACCTGCGCCTCTTCTACTGGAACCCAGGAATATTTATAGGAGGGACGAGGTCACTTCTCAAGGGGCCGCCTACAGAGGGACGGCGGTTCTAGTGAGAAGGGACATCGTCCACCAAGAACTTGACCTACCGGAGTACCAAACTATGCGCTCTATCGGCATAAAATAGGAGGCGGCGGGCGAGGAACTTAGGATCTACGCAGCATACCGCCCGCCAGGGGCTCCATTTTGCTCCTCAGACGTCCGGACGGTGATGGAAGGCGAAATACCGACCATCATCGCCGGGGACCTAAACGCCAAACAACCTACATGGGGATCCAGACTGATCAACCCGCCGGGTCATGCACTTTTTGAAGACGCCGAAAGACACGGCTATGACGTTTTAGGTCCCGAAGACTCATATTCCGACGGATCCACGAAGTCGTCCGGATGTATTGGACATCGTGCTCGCTAGGAACATCAACTACCCGATAGTGGTAGAGGTGCTGTACGACCTGGATTCACAGCACCTCCCGATCTTAATTACCCTTGGCCTAAAGGCGGTGACTACGCCGCCCAGAACAGTTAAGACACGTATCGACTGGAGACTCTACCATAAACACCTGCAGGAGAGACCTCCAGCACACCACCCCTTAAACACAGCGGACGACGTAGAGGCCGCCGCTACCAATATGACAAAGACAATACAGGAGACCCTCAACGCTGCCTCTACGATCGTCCCGATGTCAACAAGGAGAGTCGATCTGCCGCTACAGATTAGCGTGCAGATCAGGAGAAAAAGGGCGTTAAGGAGACTCTGGGCGCGTACTCGCTGCCCGAGAATCAAGACGCTACTTAACATCTTATCGGAGGAACTGTCGGTTGCAGTCCAGGCACACAGAGGAGATGCCTGGGAGCGACGCATATGGAAGGCGGAAGAGCACGATGCGTCGCTCTACAAACTGAACCGACAGTTAACTAAAGCCAAACCTCCCGTTTGCCCGCTGACCAACAACGCGGTCGAACGTCGTTATGATGCCAAGGGTAGAGCGGATATCCTAGTAGAACACTTCGAGGAGCAATTTATGCCGAACCCAGCAAGTGCGGAGTTCATGGAGCTTCATGCCCAAAAGGAGAGTCGCGTACAGGAGTTCCTATCGTCGCCCGCGCCGCCTCTTGCAGGAGAGTGGTTCATCTCCCCTGTACTGCGGAGGACAGTAACCCGCCTGCAACCGAGGAAGCCGCTGGGGCACGATGGGATTACCAACGCTGCACTCCGACAGCTGCCCCATAGAGGCCTAGTAGAGCTTGGTCGACTCTACAATGGGATATTGCAGACATCCCACTTCCCGGAGGATTGGAAGAAAGGCAAAGTGATCGTCTTGCCGAAACCCGGAAGGACAGGCGTAGAGCTGCCAGCTACAGGCCGATCACGCTGCTACCACACATAGCTAAACTGCTTGAAAGATTGTTGCAAAGACGCCTCCGTCCGTGCATCCAACTTCGGGCGGAGCAGCACGGATTCAGAAGGGATCACTCTACAGCAACACAGCTGACCAGAGTGCTGCACCTGCTTGCGGCCGAATACAACCGTGACCGCACTACGTTGGGCGTCTTTCTCGATATCGAGAAGGCGTTCGACAGGGTGTGGCATTCTGGACTACTTTATAAACTAGAAGAACAGACCGTGTCCCTCCTGCTATGTTGCGGCTAGTGGCGTCTTTCCTGGCAGACAGGAAGTTCTACGTCTTCGTAGAGGGCGTCGAGTCCGCAACCAGAACCATCAGAGCCGGCGTTCCTCAGGGCAGCTGTTTGTCTCCAGTCCTGTACGCGGCTTATACCAACGATATCCCTACCCTGGCAGGAAGGCTGCAAGAGTGGGAGACGTGGAATTGGCGTTATACGCGGACGATAGCGCTTATTTCACCTCGTCCAGAAGAGCCCACATTGCCACTGCCAGGATGCAACTTCTGCTGGACTTGCTGCCACCATGGCTAGATGAGTGGAGGATGGTCGTCTACGTTGGTAAGAAGACCGCTCTACTCATTCGCCGCCTCAGGAACCTACCACCTCAGCTAACCCTCAATGGCCAAAAGATCGCGTACGAGAAGGCCGTGACCTACCTTGGGTGCAGGATCGACCGGGCGCTGCGCATGACTGCGCACGTCGACCTCGTCGTCCGCAGAGCACGATGTGTGCGGGCGATGCTCCGTCCGGTCCTGGCATCCAAGTTACCACTTAAAACAAAAGTGCGAGTATACAAAATGTACATTAGACCCATTATTACGTACGCTGCTCCGGCCTGGTACGCGCTTCTGAGCGAGCCTCTGAGGCGGCGACTGCAGGCCCAGCAAAATCTGACGTTAAGAACCATCGTCGGTGCGGGTCGCTACGTCCGAAATGACGTCATAGCGGCCAACCTGAAGATTGACACCCTCCAGGAGTTTGTGGCCCGGCTGGCGCGCGGACTGTTCGACCGTGCAGACAACGGGCCACACATACATCTTAACCAACTTGCGCCGCTACACACTCGCCCTCCGGACGGGCGACCCTATCCAAGAGAACTCCTCTCTATATCGATTAGAGAGTCGAGTAACAACCCGCAATGCCGCTGATAGGCCAACTCCGACTTTATACTAGATAACCTCCTTTTTTCCCGTAGTCGGTTAACTACGGGAAAAACTTTACCAACTACGGACAAACCCGTATAACATCCAACAACGCCAATAGAAGGCTCCCAGGACCGGTCCATAGTGGTGGACCGCGAGGATAACACGGGTAATGGGGGCATACCCCGAGGCCCGAAACCTGCATGGCACATTGGGGCATGTAGACGACAATCAACGTTCCAACCGAATTTGGGGTATAAAAAAAAAAAAAAAAAAAAAAAATATATATATATATATATCATATTACCTATTTTGTGTTTTAGGAGTCGACACCACATCAATTAGTTTTGTACAATATTCTATTAAGAGATAAATATGTACTTGAGTATTCACTTTGTACTTTAATAGAGAAGTATGGTATGAAAATCCATACTTTTCTATTTTAATGCGAAAATCTGTCCAGCTTTAATGACTAAACTGCTAAACTTATTTTGATAAAATTCATATATTATGTGTCTATCAGAAAACACAGCATCGCTTATGAAAAGCCGTTTGTATCGATTCTACTACCTACTACTACTATTACTACTATACTATACTACTATATATACTATACTACTATACTATACCTACTACTATTGTAGATCAATCCATAGATACCTTTAGCAATTGAAAATCTTGATGTCGTCTATGGATATTTACCGCATGGAGGGGATTACCCTGTTATAATAGTGTTCAGTGCCTGTTATAGTGATAGAGAAGATCTTTATCTTCTCTATTAATAGTGATAATGGAATAGTAGTTTGATTATTTTGTTTTGACATGTATTGATTTGCCTTAAATTTGTTTTAGCCGCAGTAACCCACTTAGTACACTTCTATTAGGTAGTCTAGATGAGGTTTGATCATGGAGTTGTATATATCTGACTGATTTTGGCAGACAGCGAATATTACCTCGAAGTTCACCCATGATAGAAGATAGCTTAGATCTTAATTTATCTAGTTGCGGCTGCCATGTTGTGTTTATCTAGGTAGAGTCCAAGATACTTTTCTGTACTAACTTTCTTATAGTCATTAATGGATTGGGCTGCGAAATTCCCAGAGGAATTAAATGCACAATCACTTGCGCAAAAAATAAGCTCTGCTATTGGGAAAGGTACGGTCTATAATAAAATTCTGCACATATCTTACGGGTTTTATATGGTAAAAGAGCTGAATGCATAGAAACTAGAAGGCAGAAAGTAATTAAAGAACAAATGTAATGTATATGTAATCTGTACGAAACACCCTTATTCAAAATGTTGGTGGCCCTACACAGTGGAAAGTACACTACATAGTCACTTGCTTTTGAAGAAAATAAGAATAATCAGGGTTTAACTTTAAAAAGAAAAGGATCGGGTTCTTTTCTTTATCCTTCCATTAAAGCTCCCAAGAAAACAAAGTTAGAATTTCCCCAGAGTAACACTAGTTACCAAAACTATAATTCTCATTACCAAAACGGTCCTTCTAAAGGCAAGGGAAAAGGTAAAGGTATGGGTAAAAAGACTCAGAGTGGCTATTTAAGGGGATCAATCAAAGGACTTCAGAAACCAAGGGGAGCAGCTCGGAGCTACTCCCTTTATCGTAAAAGCAATATCAGGGTCTCGGATTCCTTTTACACAGTTAGATATGATATGATACGTAGATGGATTATATTCGTTGAGCCTGGCCGTTGTGACTGTAATTTGGTCTGGATGACATTATTATTAATTTTGACTTTATCGATAAGAGTTTTAATCTTGTCACTGGTAATAATATTCTATAATTTTTTTTCAGGAACTGGTAAGATTTCACATTTTACTATGAAGTAGTTTTGACTATAAAATAACCTGTGTGGCCATTGTTTGTCTTTCAATTAATTCTCCTTCTAATGTTAACTTTAATCTTAATATGTATCTCATTTTATTGAAACTTTCTGTCTTCAAATGGTATAGTAGTATAAATAATTAATGTGAATAACAATAAAAAAATCTTTGTTACAGATTAAGAGAATACTTTTTGGCCCCATGAACCCCTATCCACAAAAGAAGGTAATAACCTTCAATAAACATACAGATGATTTTACATTCTATGTAAACTATGCTGAATTAGATCACATACCATCTACTGAGTTAAATTACATAGGAACTTTGAACCTAAGTCAGGTCATCTGAACTGGTGTAAGCGAGGCTTTAAGCAAACATACTGGGGAAAATATCGAACATACGGGCATTAAAGCTCATTTCAATATGGATGACTCTGGTATTCTCAATTTAGTGAATGTTGAATTTGTGGCCGAGAAGACTGTTACTGAAGAAGACGAAGATAAAGACAGTACTCTGTCTAAAATAGGTAGCACTATAAGCAAGTTGTTTAGTTCCGATTCGGAAACACCTGAGAAAGCCGAAGAGAAAGGCGATGGAAAACCAAAGGAACCAGAAAAGTACGAAACTAAAGCTAATGAAGCAACAACAGACAAACAAAATACCTACTACTGATACTGAAAGCATGCAAACTTTGTAGGTCTTTTATTAGCCTAGTGCAGTCTCATAATATATTTTGCTATCAAATATCACTGCGCTGCACTGCTTAATCATTTTTTTCCTCCGGTTCCTACTTTTTCTCTACGTCACAATTTTAGAAAACGAAGCTCCATCTTGAGGCATTTGGGTGACGGTGTGTTCAGAAACACCTAAAACAAAATAAAAACAATGCTATATATGCATCATATCTACATTATATTAATGACACGAGAAAAACTAAAAACGAATAATGAACCGAAAAAAATGAGGAGTTTTATTGTTATGGTAGACCTAAAAATTACCTGTCAAATATGCAACGTGGACTCTAACCTTAGGAAATGGTACTGTAGGATCGCATCTTCTTCATAATTACGTTTGACCTTCATTATAATATCCCTGCCAGCACTTCGGCACAATGTTGACGGTTGTTTACTGCAAAAACGAATAAAAACACGGCACCTAACACTCTCTTTTGACACTCGCCATAAACAAAAAGATTAGAAGTTATCTTGCTCGCTCTCTAGTACGCGTACCTTGAAAAGTTACCAGTGCAGTCAACGGCGTACTGAAAATTACAGATGCTGGCAGCCATTTTATTTGTTTAAATGTCAATATGAATGTTGCAATTAACATGAAATTTAAGATGATTTTTATTTTCAAATTAATACATATCTATACATTGAAGCGTCTGTTTGTAATTTCAAAATACCAGCCTTTTACTAAATGCATATGAAAGTTTATAGGTACTGTATTTATAACAAAAAACAAACACAATTTTTAAAAATTGTCTGTCTGTTTGTTTGCTCCAGCTTATAGTTGACACTAACAGAGCTAATCTTATAAAGAGTAACACAGGCTACTTTTATTGTAGAAAATGAATAAGGGTTCCGCGTAAAAAAGATGAATAAGGGTTCCGTGCAAAAAAAATCAAACCTATAAAATCCAATAGTTATAACTAACTACTGAGAACCGGAGACACATTTCACCAGTGTTGCCGTTTTAGCGTATTTGGCGCTAGATCTAGTGCAATTCTAGGGTTTATAGCGCTTTTTTTTTAACATCTAAGCGCTAAAAAATATTTAATGTAATCTGGCTGAAAATTTGATATTAGTTGGCAGCACAGTGTGATAAAAAACACTAGCGAGTTTATCGTTCGTGATTGTTCGGATATTCTCCGAACAAATTTTGCTGATCATTGTTTTACCTCCCTTTTGCATTATGGTATTATGCAGCTGTTTTACTTTTCATTATATTAATACTCTAAGCTTTAATACTTGAGAAGAACTGGTTTTTCGCACTTTCAAGTTTCATGTTAGTCTTTTAGCTCAGTTTTGGTTGTTTCGTGTAAATTTTAATTGGAGTTGCCACCGAGGAAGAAGGCCATATAGCCAGAAATATAGATTTGAGTAGGGTCAAATGGCATGGAATTCGATTGGTCAAATAAGAAGGTGATAGTGATGATATAGTGAAATTTTGGGCACAAGTATCTAGAGATATAAAAATGCAGCTAGAATGAATGCCTTTTAGGATTAAGAGGACTTAGCTATCAATGTATTGTCGCTTCAACATTCAAACGCCAAGGTAAAGCGGATGTTCGGCGTTATGAACATCGTCAAAAGTAAGATACATAAGTGGATGTCCGCTGAAACAGTGAACACATATATAATGATACGTCATCAATAAAAAAATTCTTAAGCAAAGCTGCTACACATAGTTACCTGAATATGTCCTCGACAAATTACTAAAACTGTGAAAAAAAAAGAATAGAAGCAGGTGTAGGTTCATCATCGGCATCTGGAGGTGATGATGACCATGAAGACGTAGTACAATTATCTAATTTAGTTGATTTTAGTACCTTATATTACTTAAATAAATAAAGATGTCTTTAAATAATCGCATTTTTCTTATTTCCTTATACGTTCACAGGATACAACTTAGCGTAATTTGGTGGATTTTAGAAAACAATTTTTTGTAAATTATAGCGCAATTTTGATAAGGGTTTAGTGCACCTTTTTTCTTCATACAGCATCACTGCATTTCACTAGAAACGAGGCATTCTTCTTAGTCTTCACGGGTGACAACGCATCTGCATTTTAATTCGTAATCGAGGATAGAAATGTAGATAGATGTCACCCATATCCTATAAAAAAATGTTAAAAAGAAAACACTACTGGGCAAAATACACAAAGGCACTACTTATTCATCATAAAATTAATTGCAGCAGGCGTATGGAAGAATAGTCGAAAGAAATAGAGGTAGTGCACTTTCAGTTAATATTATATAAATAAAAAAATCCTTAAATTCGCAAAAAAAAATTGTGGGTCACCTCATGGGCAAAAAACTATCCTATCTCTCAAGTTGGACCGAAATGCACACGGTGTGCAAATTTGATTAGAATCGTTTAAGTAGTTTAGGGAGTCCATCGTGGACAAACAACGTGACACGTAACTTATATATATTAAGATATATATAGAGGTTGGTGATTAAGATATATATATATACTAAGATATATATATATATATATATATATATATATATATATATATATATATATATATGGACTTTTGATAGGCTGCAATAAATTCTCTTTGGACAATGTCATAATTTTTACACTGTTACCAAACCTTTACCAAATATAATAAAAATGATTATGTGTTTGACTGTCACTATAACGATATCTTCAAATAAATTATAGAATTGGTTATTCTTATGCTATTGTTTATTTATTTAGAAATATCAAATAAATGAAAAGGACTATTAAGTTACATGATCCTAATACTTATAGTGAAAGCAGCTGTAAGTATTTCATTGCGTTTATAATTTATAAAAGTTAAAAGTAAGTATACAGCCTAAAAACGTTCCACTGTTGGTCGTGTACTTAAAATTTACGAACGCTTAGCTCTTAAGCTACCATGGTTTTATAATATATATACCTACATACTGTACATGTGTACATGTATAAACTAGTTATAAATAAAATAATAATAAGTGCAAAATTCTTATCATAAGGGCCGTTGGAAGTTTATGACCCCGTGGATTTCGTAAAAGTTCGTTAAGGTTGAATGGTGCCCGAATAACCGTCGTTTCAGCCACATAAGTAAAGAAACCGACTCTGTGCTTCAGAATAGCAAGCCGTCAGGCTATATCGCTTACTCTGGATCTACTGATTAAAGCCAGCGCAGCGTTAACGTGTTTTTTTTTTAATTTTAACCTAACAATTATGGAGTGTAGAAGTAAGGAGTACCAACTCCCATAATAGAATAGTTGAAAAAGTGGCCGTCTGTAAGCAGTAAATAACAGTTCAAAAACTCTCCACAACAGCACTGAAGTAGCTACTGGGATGAAATGAACTTAGAAGTTGTCAACGGTTTGAAGTGCGCTGCTAAACTACTCAGTAGCCCCAACATCTAAAATAATTTTATTTAGTAAATATAACCTCGAAAAAATCGAGTCGACTGATATTTTTCGGCACGTTCTTTAAAATTTAGCCCGTAGCTATAGTGGCGCCACCCTTATTTAACGGTTTTCTATGGACACTTTTTAATACAGTCTGTACTCCTTACTTCTACACTCCATACTAACAATTCAATCGTTCGTTCAGGCGCAAGGCGCAATAGTTCTTCATTTGTAGGTATTTTTGTGAGAAATATATGTACGTTCTTTGTATATTTAAATCAAAAGCGAATAAATATACCTAACAGTGATTTAGATTTAATGAACAGTATTTGCAAAGTATTCTGTGTACCAAATAAATCAGAAAATTCTTGGACGTCTTACTATTCTTGACATCGCACGGGCAAAGTAACAATAGGGTATTTTATACCACGTAAAATAAAATCAAAAATATATATTTATGATAGATTTTTTAAACATTATACAAGAAATATTGATTTCTGTTTATAAAATTGCATTGTAAATTTTAAATTTCCATATTAAGAATATTTCTTTTAGTCTGTTCATCAAATCTGCAAAACGCTGTCGGCCATATTGGTACATGTCGTAACGTCACTGATCCAGCCCAAGGATAGTAATTAGTTCTGTCCACAAAACTTCGAAATTTTTAAGTTATAATTACGATTATTGAGTTTTATTCCGAATTTTATTGAAAACGCATCATGGAAGAGGAAAATTTAAAACGATAGATTAAAAGTAATTTATGGTACTATTCGGTTTTAAAAAAATTTTATAAAAATTATAGTGGTTCATTATCACTTTCGGATTCATTTAAAACAATTTTTGAAAATGGGTAAAACACCCTATTGTTTAAAAATATAATACAACAACGGGCGTATCTAGAAATTTAACGTGGCAAAGTCACGCTGTTCTTGTTATGGTTGTAGCGCGAATAAATCAACTTGTCTGGAAAAGAACCACGCTCTCACAGAATACCATATAACAGGATAATGCTGTTGTATTTGGTGTTGTGTATGTAGATAATCCGTAGTACCTTCTGTGTATACGAAGTTTTTGAAGTCCGAAACCAATGTTCTGTGCTCGTTGAATCAGCTAAACCTGTTGTTTTATAACTTCGACGTCAAGATACTAAAAGTTTTTATTCTATTTACGTACAAACTTTCCACCAATTGACTAAAACAATAGTTTGAAGTAAAGCGAAGTTCATATATCGTTTTCTTGAATATTCGTTATCTTCTATAGAGTGATATTGCTACTTCTGCCACTTTTTCAGTATCTGTAAGTCTTTAAACACGAAAGTGCTATCAGGATTGTTGCTAACGTGCAAGCTGTAATTCAGATACGTAGTGAGCTAAATCGGAAATCAAGTTGTTGAGAGTAAATATAAACGAATTTGCAAAAAGTAGTAATGACCCAATGCGTCTATCTATGATAATATTTTATCGAATAGGTACTGAGGAAAACATATGATTCTTAACCATTACAATGCATATAGAAGTAAATGGATGAAGGTGGCTCACGACCACGTCTTTTTCATAGAGAAGAGTAGGCAAACGAGCATGCGGCTAACCTGATAGTACGTGACTACCGCCGCCCATGAACAACCGCAACACCAGTTGAATTGCAGGTGCGTTGCCGGCCTTTTAAAAAGGAGTAAGTTCTTTTCATGAAGGTCCCTAAATCGTATCGGTCCGGAAAAATCGCCGATAATAAACAATTTCACAGAGAAGTTGTACGAGGAAAAAAACTCTTAGTAAAACGCACAGTGGTGGACCGCCAAGCATCTAGAGAGTGAGGATGTGGTATCATGCATTCAGACGCGATGTGTTCTGGAAATTTGGCGGCTAGAATTAATCCTAACAATTCCTCAGAGCACTCCCCGTGGTAGATGCGAAAGAAAACGCAAAGGGATGCAACATTAGGGATGTTGATACAATCGACGAATGGAACCGCTCTGCGCTGAATGTAGTCAAGTGAAAGGAGCTGACACTGGGGTGCCCAGGCCAGAGATGAGAACAGTATTCCAGTGAGGCCGAACTTGCGCTTTGTAAAGTTGCAAGCGATATGCCGGCATGAAATACTGGCTCGCTCTGCCAGGCACGCCAAGCTTTTTGGAGTCCAATTTGGCCTTCACTTCCAAGTGACCACGAAACTGCACACTATTCAATATGTCGACGCCAAGGATTCCGATGCTAGCAGAGGCAGAAAGGGTAAGGGGAGTGCCTTGAAACTGAGGAGATACGACAAAGGGGTCCTTTTTAGCGGTAAACGCGCAAACTTGTGTCTTCTGGGGATTGAACTAGACTACATTTAATAGTTCCCAATCCAAGACTTTTTTTAGCAAAGATTCGACTTCGGCAACGTTTTCCCGCGAAATATTGGCACGGCCGGTGTATAAGGTATTATCACCAGTGTTGTCGTCCGCATAGCAATGAATGTTAAAAGTTTGTAACATATCATTGATATGCAGAAGAAACAGAGCATGCACTGTCTACTAAAACCTTGTTGCTCCGATCAGCAAAGAAACTGGTGATCCAATTGCACAATTTCTCGGGAAGCCCATACGAACGGAGCTTAGAAAGAAGCACTTTGTGCCGGACCCGATCGAAGACCTTCGCTATGTCCAAACTAACGGCCGATGCCTTCCCCTAGGACTCTATGAGTCAGGTAGACCACAAAATCACCAGCTGATCGACGATCGTGGTAACTAATAAGCTAGTGATTCTCAAGGTACTTCATGAACAGTGGCGAAGCTAGGGCTCCAAACTAGGGCAAGCCCAAGATATGGTTTTGTTGTTTTTAGCAGTTTAATAAAAATACACCAATCTTGAGCTGTCTCCACTCTTTAGTTTCATATTCAGTGCTGTCAAGAACGTGTTTAACAAAGTACACAAAAAGCATACTATCGCTAGATAGATTGTATGACATAATATGCAATTGCACACCTTCGGTGGTTTTGAAAAGAGCCGTTTGGGTTTGCTTGAGATATTTACAAACAATACAATACATGAACAAAAAAAAAGCATGAACATAGTACAAACAAACTATGTACAAAGTTAGAAAAGGGACGCCTGGCAGATGTGAAAACTCGAAATTATATTTTGTTTAAGTTATATGCATAAAAGAACAGATTACGACAGGAATTAGATAGTTATAATGAGAAGATAAAGCTTTGATAATTTTTACCATAAAATAATGACTATTTATTATAATTATAATTATTCATTTTCAATTCATAATAAACCGTACAAAATGATATTTTTAAACTCATATATCACTATAAATTAGCCGATAGCTTATTTGTGCCATCTAGCGTAACGTTTAGGTACCATCGTGAGAATCAACCAATTTTCGTTCGATAAAATGACTTTACCTATAGAATTGTAGATGGCGCCATTAAAATTTATAAATAAATATTAAATTTCAGTTTTAAAGATTTTTACTTTTCCTCGCCGATTAGCACTTCAACACACTTATATTGATCACAATGAACACTATTATCCTCCCATTTTCACTGAAAATCTTCGAAAAAGCATAAATTTTTAACAAACACAACAAAAACGCATACGCATACGCATACGCATACGAGAGGGGCCCGCAACCACTTCGCTAGTCGCTAACGCAGTCCTAAACAACTTCATGGCAAAGCCAGGCTTGTTGGCTCAATACCTAGTAATTGCTATATAAACATTTCGTAGTTATATTTCATTATAGAATATTTTGCCATAGGTTAGAAAGAGAGCGATCGTCTTCTCGAAAGCCCCGTACAAAGCCCACGCGAGCGAGGGAGACAACGAATCGCTCTATTAAAACTCACTTTATGACAGCAGCAGTATCGCCACAGAGTACCTTTGTATAAACGTATCGCTAAGGCAATACGAGGTCATCGGTCGACATGTGTCGAACAGTGAGTGCGCGGGAAAATTGAAATAATTTGAAACAGTTTATGAGTTATTTTATTAGTTGATATTATTGATTGATATTATTGATTGATTCAGTTTTAATAAGGCAAGCCCGGCTTTTCGGCTTTTACGGAAGCTTCGCCACTGCTCATGAACTGGCAGTTTATAATGAACTCCATTTTTTTGGAGAACAAGGAGGTGATGGCGACAGACCTGTAATTGGACGGATCAGAGCGATCGTCCATTTTAGGGATCGGGTGGAACAAAGCTGTCTTCCATCGGTTCGGGACTACGCCTTGGGAGTAGCACGACAGGACAGGATAGGTAGGAAAAGACGCATTAAAACCGGTGTCAACGCCGGAGCACACGTCTTCAGCATAATTGGGAGGACTCCATCAGGCCCACTCGACTTGCTGACGTCCAGGAAGAGGAGTGCTTAACGAACTGAGCGCTGTGTAGCCCGCACATCCGGCATAGAGCACTCACACCGCGGGATGGTCGGCGGTATGTTCCCCCGGTCATCGAAAGTCGAGTTGGACGCAAAAAATTTCGCTTGGACAGCCTTGGCGAGAAACCAGAATGCACTGGTTCCCGAAGGAAGGCGAACTAGCTTCTCGCCAATTTTGCCAATGTGCTCAGACCTTGCCTTGGCAATGACTCTTTTGAAAAACCTGGAGGCGGAATTATACTTGTTTTTAAGAGCGCTGGTGTTTACACCCAGAGACGTTGATGGATCAACCCAGGCCCGGTAGCACTCCGGCTTATAGCGTGATGCTATTTTACAGGAGCGACCAAACCATGGCTGCGATCTGCCTCCAATGGACACCACAGAGGATGGAATAAAAAGTTCCATACTTTGAAGTACCACATCGGTGACTGAATCAGCAACAACGCTGGGATCGTCCCAAGCAAATCCGTCCCCAAGAGTAAGATGCAAATAAAGATGGCATCCTATCCCATTCGGCCGACCCGTAGTGCCAAACACGGCAGCAGCCTGCAGAGTGCAACCACGACGTTAATGTGACTGGCACCACACTCCGGACAAGACAATGGTCCGACGAGCCTAGAGTCTTTGACGGAAACTTGGTATCCGTCCGGATCCGCAGGGAAGGTGTATGATCTTCTACATCTGGATTCTGCGTAGGCGAAGTAACCAGTTGTGTCAGACCATATGCCAAGGCAATATCATAAAACAGATCTCCACGCATGATCAGTTAAATGTAAACCGAGCTGTTTGTCATATTGGGCGTTAAAATCGCCAAGGATCACGATCTCTGCGGATGGGTTCTGCTGTAGCAAAGAATCTGTTATCCATTTGGACAAGGTCGATAAGTCGATCTGTTTCCGCATTACCGCTATGGGACCTATAGAGGCACCCGTAGACGCGGGGATGGTCGTCGCTGTCTACGTGCTATCACCTGAGTTTCGGTTAAAAAGAGCAAGGCCGGCCGTTTCCAGATGGTAGTGAACAGCGTTAAGATTGGAATGAAGTCCCCTAATGTTGCAAAATTCACGGATAGTGTAATAGGGGTCGCCTTGGTTTTATTGCTCCGCTTGCCCAGAGCAGTATAAGCGAGCGGGATTGTAAGCCTGCCCCCCCCCCCTCCCCGAATAAGCGGGGCACTCAGGAAGCTTAGGATAGTAGCTTGGTAGTGGATGATCAGCGAGGGATTCTCTGCCACCAGGGGGAGGGGTACTGGTACCCTACTAGGGTAGTTTATTGATTCCGCTACCATGTAAAGGGGGGGGGGGGTAACGGGGGAGATTGGGCCTCCGACCACATGCCGCTAAACGCGGAGGTAAATAAATCTCTACTTCACGCTGGTATTCCGTGAGGTCGTGGGGCGGTAACCCCGGTTCGAGCCGGCCTATCCATGCGACAGCAAAAGCTGCCGCGTGGCTCTAGCATGTTGCGTTTAGCCCCAAGCCTATCAACTTGTTATGTCTCTAATGATAATATGATTTACCTTAGTGTTTCTTTCTCATAGTGCTTTACGTAGATGTGTTATATAGTTATAATTTTTATTGAATAAAATGGTTTATGGAGTCCAGAGTTAAAATGTAATTCCGTAAATTTGGCTTGGTCACTAACTCAAATAAATTCAAAATCTATTGGAATATAATGTTTTGGAATATTCAAGGCATTAACACACCCGTACTTGACCGTAATTTCTCAATAATATTGGTATTTCGTTACCACCTATTTAAATAATGTTAGGGTTTCAGATGGGAGCAGCTGGATTTTCCCTAACTATATAACATGTGAAGAGGAAACTACAGGCCTTACAATAGCAGAGATAGACTCTTCATATTCATCAGAATCTGGTGACGAAGTTGAAAAATATGAGCGTAAGCATGCCTGGTGTTACGTAGATAATAATGAACAACATAATATTAATGAAACTTATAATGCTAATAAGAACGCTAGAGAGAAGCGACGAATGAAAAATAAGGTATATCCTGAATTTATAAATAGGGATATTGAATATGTAAGATATAAAAATAAAGAAGCAAATAATGAATCCCATCTAGAACATATTTACACTGGTTTCAATAAACATAAGTGGCTCAATGCAAAAGAAGGGACATCAACAAAAATTCCATTAAATTACTTCACTATTTTAAGTAAAGAATTAGCCGATTCAGAATCTTTGTCAGATAAGGAAAAAGGTGTTGAAAAAATACAATGCGGGGATGTGTTACTAGAAAGCAATTATTGGAGCAATAATGATGATAATAATAACTCAAAATTCAAAAGTTATTACAAGGATTTGGATAGCAATCGTACAATATTGATTTATTCTTTTAAAAATAAAAATATGCTAAATGAAGATAACATCACGCCTATAAATATTTCTAGCACAGACAGCAATTCATCCACATCTGTTGATTGTGAGGACCTCGAGAAAGTAGAAAACCGGAGTAAAATGAAATACCAATACAGAGTTCCCTCACCAACTCCAGCTACATATGTTCCTAGATTAAATTTGTATACAGCGGCTACTCTACCAACAGTCACAGAAATTGCAGAACCATATCAATATATCACGGGAAACACGACTATTTCATTTAAATCCGAAAAATTTCTGTTAGAAGAAAATATTACTAAAACAGAAAATTCCAATAATTTGAAAGAAGATATATGTTTCAAGGAGTCTACTATTTCCGCGACTAACGTTATAAATTGGTTAGCTTTATCTCCACGAACAAAAAGGAGAAATTTGAAACTTCCAAAATTCATAGATAAAAATTCTGTCATTGAAGAAGGAATAAAGAATGATGAAAAGTGTAAATTAAAATATAATGGTCTTTGGAATACATTAAAAACTAATGAAAAAACCATTACGAGCACATCTGATCAAAAATCTGATAATAACAATGGAAATACGTACGTAAAAACAAAGGATGAACAAACTCACTTAAAAGCGATATCATCAGAGCAAGAGAAAGACGAATTACTAATAGATGAAAAAGGAGATTGCAACAAAATGAAGCGAATTATGAAACCTTGCATTGGAATAAATCAATTAATAAAAAAGGAACTAACTACCGATACCATTGAAAAGCTTAATAGAGACAATCGTTGGATTGATGATAAAAATAAACATGGAAATAAAGAAAATTTGTATATAGATGACATTGACTCAATAGAACATTATGAAAAGCCTGAGGAAGTCTTACGATGTGCTAGTGACAGGCTATTTATTAAAAATATGCCTAAATTTTTACCAATAACAGAAAGTGTTCCTTCTTTGTATCTACCACTGCCATCAAATATAAACGAGGACAAGCAATCTTGGTCCAAACGCATTATAAAGTGTATCCTCTGCTGTATAAAATGCAAATAAAAAAATAAAACAAGAAAAATCTTTTGTATTAGCGAATTTATTAAATTCAATCACAATTTTCCAGTTTAAGGAGTTCTTACAAAAAATAATCCTGTTATTCGTTAAGGTACCTTGCAAATAAAATTCGACACAAAATTGTCAAATCATTCTATCTACACACATTTATACTATCACAATATTTGCAAACGAGCTTTCATATTGTACTTCTACAGTCGAACGGTATAAATTAGTGAAAAAGATAAGTCACAGGAATGTAAATCACAAGCCAGTACTTGTCCCATAACTAACTTAATCTATAGAATTGTTAAATAATGTGTTCCATGAATTTTAGAGAAATTCCTCGTAGAATGTCCTTAAAATTAGGACCGATATTTAATTGTCTAGCGACAAGCTGTTTCAATAGTGGTGATGGACTAGTCAAGATTATATATTCATCATCTTTAGAATTTCAATTATCTTAATTAGAAAATCAAATACAAACATCTCACTTTACTGTAGATTTAAAATATTGCCCTGGTACTTTATATTTTGAAATGGCAACCCTATAAGCATATGTCTTAAATGCATCAAATTTTATGCTATTTTGTTACTTGCTGCAAGAATATTGTATCACATATTACACTTAAGATTATATATTATTTAAGTTGATTTATTTAATTTTATTAGCAAATTGCAAATATAAGTCAACAACAGCATAACACTATTTTATGAGTATTATCATATGGTAAATATTAAATTAACATGTCTTAATAATGTATGGTTGTAGTATTCCCAGATTAACGATATATAGGTATAACATTTCAGTTATATAATGCTGCAACAACATTATCGAGATTCGGCGAGGGATTTTGCTGTCGCAATATATTATATATTATTTTTCCTACGAATTTAACAATCGTGGTACATCGCTAAAACAAAATCAAACTGAAATAGACTAGAACCGAAGCCGTGGCGAATAGCAACGTGGGTACAGTTCAAATAGAATATACTAGAATTTAATATTAAATAATTCACTTTCATTTAAAATATAAGTTTAATAGAATTAAAACATTTGTTAAAGTAGAAAAAAATGCTTTAGTGTAAGCTTAAGAAGGAGAATAAATCTGTTGTCATATGTGGGGGCTTTAATATTTATCTTATTGAAACTTCTTTTATTAGTATTGTTTAGATCATTGCCCAAAATCATACAAACTAATTAATTTATTTTGTTCTTAAAGACAACACGTGTTACAAGATCTAGTGCAACATGTATCGACAAAATTTTTACAGATGTTGAGCACTTGCATAAATTAATCATTCAAAATTTAAGGTCCGATCACTATGGAAAGTTAGTCTCGTTACTAAACAAAAAATCAGAAAGTAAAGAAGATTGTGCTTGTTCCAATAAAAGAATATTGTTTTAAAGGGATTTAGAAGTGATATATTATTCTATATTAAATTCTATTTATTTTTCAATGTAATAAAATCAGTTTGTTTTATAACTATCTTTACCCCAACTGTCGCCAGTGTTAAACTGATTAAACGTATTTTCTGTGCATGGGAAGATGCTTTGGGAATATTTAGAAAAGGCTTTCGAGTGTATTCACCAGGAGACATTATTCAAGAAGCCACGTCATTATGACGTAAAAACATAGCTCTTAAACTTATTACATCGTATTTAAATAATAGATGGCAAACAGTTGCTATCAATGGGAGTAATTCTTTTGGGTCGGATGTATCTATGGGTGTTCCTCAGGGCTCAATTCCTGGCCCTGCTGTTGTGTACTAAGTATACTTGGTAATTTGTTTTGCTAATGATACTTAGTTCATTTCCAGACTTAAACGGCAATTGTTAAAATATGAAAGAGTAATGTTATATCAATAGTAGTATACCGATTTAACATCAACAATTTGTTTTTAAACGGTAATAAAACCAAATGTATTTAATACACAACAACAAATCCTAAACAGGTGGCTCTGCAGCACATGAAATTCCAGGCATATGAAATTTTGCTATGGGATAACGCGATTGACATTGAAGCTATCTTTGTTTTGCAGAAGAGAACCATAGCAAAAAAATAACCGAGCTATTTATAACCTAGATCTGAAAGCGTCTCTTGGAGGAAAATTAAAAGAAATGTTTTAACTTTGTCCTCTCAGTATATTTACGAAAATTGCATATGTGTACATTTTGTAAAACGAAGAACAAGCACAAGCTAATCATACTATAGTTCGTGCCAAATTGATTGAGAAACACGGACGATGACCTCAGATATGAGCCGAGTGTCAAAAGGCGTAACTTACAAAATCTCAATTTAGATGTGATAACAATATTTAAATATTGATATTATTCACACTTCTAGATCAGCAAATATGCCTTGCTTTTTTGATTCTTAAATAATATTGTGTGTGGTACCTATAAACATCGTAAAATCTTACGGTGCATCCCGAAAAATGTGTTATATTTTATATTTCAATTCATGGTAAGTAACGCAGCAATTCATTTAATAACAGTTTCATATTAAAAATATTTGAAGCAATATATCACCATATTGAGCTTTTGCAAATTCATCCCTTTAAAATAAACAAAACGCGCTGATTAAAACTACTTTTACGGATTTTTTCGCGTTTTCGCTGTTCGTTCTGTTTCGTTGTTCGGCTTGTTGTTGTTCTATTAGAACATTCTACAAGCCGCCGAAGAAGATTAGTCAGTTCTTACCATCCGTCAAGTGTCATATTCCTCTACAAGATGCAAGAGTGTACAAGCTTGATTGTGATTGTGGTCTCTCATATATAAGGCAAACAAAGAGATCAATTAGAACCCGAGTAAAAGAACACATAGCTGACGTGAAGCATCAACGTTCCGGGAAGTCTGCAGTTTGCGATCATATCCTAGATGGCCCCAACCATTACATCAGATTTGATAGACCACAAATCCTCGCGAAAGAACACCGATTCCTACCAAGGATGATACGTGAGGCTATTGAAATTAAAAAACATCCTAATTTCAATAGAGAAGGAGGCTGGGTATTACCACCTGCTTGGGATTCTATAATTAATAAAATTAAAACTAAACCCAAGCATACCACTGCAAGACTTCAAACCACAGTTAGTTCATTCTGCGTAGATCGGACCAAAGACAATAATTAAAAAAGCTGAAGGTACTCCGGGTTAACTTTGACATCGGGACGTCAGTCACCTCAGTCCCCCGTGACCATGGGTGCTGGAAAGCACCCGAAACGTCGGGTATTAAAAATAAAATAAATAAAACGCGAAAAATCCGTAAAAGTAGTTTTAATCAATGTACAGTGTTCGCGTAAATATAAGAAATCATTATGTAAACTAGTTAAACAAAACACGCGTTACGTTAGTTCGTTCTAAAAGAAACGTGACAATGGCAGCCAGAGATGAGTCACTTTTTTGGGCCGACCCGTATGCACCGATTAAAAATAAAGTTCTTATATAATATTGAAAATAAAGTTTTACCTTTTGAATAAGTACGTACTTATTCGGTGTTTTTATCACTCAAATCTTTATATGTGTTATAAATTAATGCTTTTTGTTGTTAAATGAATAAAGTACTCTATAACAATAGATGATTTTTCTTCTACAGCGATCTTTTACACAACTTTTTAATAATAGTTAATAAATACATATTATATCAATCATTATAAAAAATATAAAAAAATCATAATAAAGAAAGTACTACATATAAAAAATGTCTATATTTTTAAGGTTTGTAGCCCCTGGTTAAAGGTCGACTGAAAGGTCAATGTCCGTTTTTCTCAATCGATTTGGCACGAACTATAGTTACTCGACTTCAAAGAGATGGACAATAAATAACACCTGATGAAGTGATCGCTACCATACTGTTTCTAATGTTTTCGTACTTTTATTTAAAACATTATATTGTAAATTAATGATTAAATAAAGATCCCGCTGAGTTTCTTGTTGGTTCCCCCCAGGACAGATTTTTTTTTACCAAACCATTAATAAAGCATAAATGACTTTCAATAAGTATTCATATTGAATAAAATTATTCTATACTATTATATTCTATTCCAACTATTTTTATACTTTATTTTAATGTGCAAGCTATATTTTGTCAAGTACTATATTCTCTAAAAATATTAAGCAACCCTGGTTGCAACACAACTTATACTAGGTTGGTTGTTATGCAGACGAGCGTATCGTTAGCGACAGAAGGCGAATTTTTTTATTGCGACAGCAAACTACAAATCGTTATCCGATTATGTAACTACAGTATGGGGCATAATTTAAATACAGCTTTAAAATATAATAGTACAAAAGACCTCCACATGGAAACCATCTGTGTGTACTTCTCTTTAATTATATATTTCATTTCCTGCGGGATGGTGATTTTTTATTAAAATTGAAACCAGCTCAATCAGCAAGCATAGCATAGTGACGATACATTTTTTTGTGTTCCATTTGATTACATAAATCTTTTCGTAGTTGGTTTGTACATATAAATATTCAAATATCCAAGACTGCAGATACTTTAGTATTAAATGGTTGATTTAAATTAAATATAATCAACATTGACAATGACACTGAATAAATATTATTATTATCGTTATAAAATTTAAAACATACCATATAAAAGAAATAATTCAGGTGTGATGTCATAGACATTACAGGACCATTTACTCAAATTCATCGTAATCACAATGCCTTGTTTTCTAATTTCATGTTGACACTCATTTTAATGTAGATATCATTATTATTTATTTAAAAAAATCCTCAGTGTTCCCTTTGAAAATTTTTTTGTAATATAATTACGTTTAACTTTCAATTTCCAAAATAAACGCATTATATAATAAAAATCTATAATACTCTCATTGACTTAGAAATATTAAAAAGAATCTACTGATATCTAAAACTGATTAATTTGATACTTGTGAGGGTAGCATACGTTTGTTGCCGTTATTCTAATTTTCAATGTACGAATTTCAAAGTCGTAGATACAATGAGTTTTCCTTTGAGGAATAAACATTTCA